GAGGGGGTTCGGTACCGCCGCTCTCGGCCCGCTCTCCTGTGCGGTCGCAGGGACTCGGGTTACGGCTGCGGCCTCCTGGGACCGAGAGCTGAATGCGAATCCTCCACAACACATCGTTTCTTACTGTTAGCATGGGGGGGGCGGGCGGGGGGAAATCACGATTGAAACAAAGCGAAATAAATCGCGGAGCTTTCTGACTCGGGAAGTAGAAGGGGACATGTAGGACATGTAGGGGACAGGGAGCGTGCTGGCTGCGCGCGAGCCGAGGCTGCAGGCGAAGGCAACGCGCAGCGCCGCGCTGAGATACCTAAAGTTTACGTTTGCGCTGCAGGAAAAAATGCTCTATAGAAATCATACGTGCAGCTCATGCCCGGCTAAAACAATGTATCCCCGTGAAATTCAGGTTACAGCTCAGTGCAGAACGTGTTTGTCTGTAGATGTGCGGTTTATATATGTGTGTGAGGGCGAGCCGAGGCTGCAGGCGAAGGCAACGCGCAGCGCCGCGCTGAGATACCTAAAGTTTACGTTTGCGCTGCAGGAAAAAATGCTCTATAGAAATCATACGTGCAGCTCATGCCCGGCTAAAACAATGTATCCCCGTGAAATTCAGGTTACAGCTCAGTGCAGAACGTGTTTGTCTGTAGATGTGCGGTTTATATATGTGTGTGAGGGAGAGAGAGAGTGTGAAAGAGAGTAAATAACGAAAACAATTACAATGGACCGATAATAAACAATTGCAATTGGCATGAACTCTGTGCATTGGATTAACCTCGAATGACCTTACCACAATTGTGTTTATTTATCCAATTTCATAACAGGTTGCTACTGGGGAAAAAAAAAAAAAAAAGTAAATTATCAACATCTCTTTTTAATTTATTTTTTTTTTTTAAGAAATATGTTTTGTTGGGTTTTTTTAAATCATGTTGATTGGTAATTATTTCATTGCTCAACACTGAAGTTCATGTATGGGAAATCTCGAGGAAGAGTGCGATGTGAAGGATATGACTTTACCATGGCAAAGGGTAAGAGGAAAGGTAAGATTCCTGCACATTATTATGATTATGATGATCATTAACTAATACGTGTCATTATGGTGCACTAGGATCCCATTAGGGTGGCTGGGCCCAGCGCATTTTCCTACTCGGTCTAGCATGTAATGATTCGGTGTAACCGGATTCTTGAGAAAGGACAGGTTACATAAACATTTACTGATGTGGAGTTAACTATACTATTTGTACTCTGATATGCAGGAAGGAAAGTGTTGATTAACACAGAAAAAAAAAAAAAAAAAAAAGCGAAATTAGCTGATTGCATGCTCATAAGTGCAAGCTGTCATTGAACTGCTTTTAAAATAGACACAGCTGGGTGTTTGTGTTGAAAAATTTCTTGTGTTTTTGCTAATACTGAAATAAGCATGATTTTGTATACCAAACATTTTCAGATCATTAAAATTTGTAATCTGTGCTGGTTTTAAACACAAAGAAAAGAAACAGATTCATTTCGCTGTAAAATTTGCTGATATTATATTAACTCAATCAGGTCTGTACAAATGGTGTATTGTGCCTTATCAAATCTCTTTGATCCATTTAATACACAAAGTGCCAAACGTGTGTATTGTTTGTTAACATTGAACGTTTTATTCAAATCCCAGCTCTGCAGCGAACTGGAGGAGTTCTCGTTTAATGTAACACTGACATTGCCTGTTTAAATTTTAATGCATTGAGGTGTTTCTTAGGTCAAAGCTGAGTTTACTTTGCGTTGGGATCGGGTAGCAGGGAAAAAAAAAAAGAAAAAGTTTTATCTTCGTGCTCTTCTGAGCAAAGGACTAGCACCGCAAGAAGCATGCTTTTAAAACGTTTGATGATCTAGATTTAGCATTCAGTCATTTGCCACGGGTTCAGAATGAAGCTCTATGCACAAACTTAGGATTTACATTATTATTTTTTTTTTAATGCCGTGGATATACAGTTCTACCAAAAAAGGAAATGTTGCGTCCAATATGTAATACATATCTTTATAAGCCCATGGAGATTCATTCATTGTTTACAGTACAGAAAAGGATATGTAAGAGAAGCCACGTCAATTATTATTATAAATGCTGGACTTTAAATCTCGAGTTCTTCTATTTATTTATTTATTTATTTATGTATTTTCTCTGCAGAAAATTATCCCTTTTTAATATTGGAGACACTTTATTTGGAAATGCGGGACTCTTGTTCCAACGCCAATTATTTTGTGAGTTCTGGCCTGGCCACGACTCCCGTTGACTTCAGTGGTAGCTTTGTGGATGGTGGCATTGCATGAGGGAAGTGTTTTGTGGGGCTCCTGGAGAAGAAGCTTGAGCGAGGAACGGCGACTCGCGGCCCCGACCCTGCGAGAGGGGGCTGGGGGTGCAGAGGGAACCCGCTCTCTGCAGAGCTTGGGTGCTCCCTCACCTTCGCCATCTGCCGTGCGGCCCCGCCGCACTGAGTGGCGGGGATGGGCTTAGGGTGCCCAACTCTGGGGTCAGGACGGGGTGAATAGCTGAGCTGAAACGTCCTGGCTGAAGTGCCATTCAACAGCGATCTCCGTATAGCTCTTGGGTACTGAACTCGTAGGGCTAGTGTTCCGACGGCACATTCTGCTCCCTCGCATATTTATTTTTTTTAATTATTATTATGAATTTTTCATTTATTTAAAGGAAAAACAGATTCTCTCCACTGTAGGCTCTCTGAATATAGCATATTCCCTGCCACTCCCTGGCTCCAGCTTTCAGTCCACCTTCACACGGGTATAGCGGCTCTGTACTCTCAGGCTCTTTCAAGAGGTTAAGCTGCTAAAATGTACTGACAGCTTAAGAAATGAATGAGAGTTTTTTCAGCCATGAAGAAAGGGTATTTAATAACCACGCTTCGATGGCATCATGCTTCCATGAAACTAGCCGGGACACTTTGGTTTAACTCTCAGTAATATCACATTCGATACAGTAAATGCCTGGATGTACACAGATATAATTCTATTCCCCTTTGACTTTAAGCTTGCCTTATTTATTCCAGGTTACCTGGGCAATTAAGGTAACGGCTGCTCAGCAGACACTGATACCCTGCTGCTAAGGCATGGCGAATGGAGACTGAGCTGTGCGCTAACAAAGAGAAAGAAGTAGTCAAACATTTTGAAGAGGAGTGAATGGGACTGAAGGTGGATGGATGAATGGAGGCAAAGAGAGAGAGGAAGAAGTATTCAACGGTCCACTCTTCTCTCCGCATTTGTAGATTTAAGTTTAAGTGTCCGTCTATAGCAAATTTCCGGTTAATCCTCAACAGCTGGTAGTGGTCCTAAGGTTTGGTGACTAGAAGTTGATCTATTTAGTATGCTGTATCCTTCTTCCATGGCTTTTGGTTACAGGTTATACGATTAGGATTGCG